TTACACAACGAAAACCTGCTTGTGTGATCAGCCGTCACCTGAGGCGCAATCAGGAACACAGTGTTTTTCTGTTCCAGCTACACAAAAACATGGGAATCCGGAATCCACCGCAGGCGATCGAACATCAGGGACCCCGCAACATTAGCCCAAGTATCGGAGATCAATTCAACCCGACCTATTGCTTGATTTCGGCCCGAACTTTGAACCTCTACGCTGATCAACTGGACATCACGAGATTTTAAGTGATCACCAAGACAGCAGCCGATTCCTTACTCAGCTTCTTCTCCAAAGGTTTCCAACTGAATGTGTGAAGGACCATGCAGTTCCTCGATCCAGAAAGGCCTTCATTGTGGCTTGCACTGAAATGGCGTGCACATAAGTGCTGGTTCTCAAATGACCAACAGGAGCACGGGTAGCTACTGAGTTGTTTTTTAAATAATCCTGGCATGGAGAGCCCAATGCCAACTTAAGGTGAAGGAATCCTTAACGAACGGAAGTTACCTCTTCCAATAAGTTACCTGTGTGCAATATGGCCCCGCAAAACTAGGTCATTCCCACAACCCCCAACCCTCCCTCAGATATTGGGAGTAATTGGGGAAGGGGCAATAACGTTTCAAAGTAGCGGAATTCAGCCAAGGTGTGCTGTGGAGTTTTTGGGGAAGTTTTGTGAGAGTTTCTAGGAGGTCTTTATGAAATTCTGTGAAATTTCGGGAATTCTATCAAAATTCTACGGATTTCATCTGAAAATTTGGAATTTTTGTTCTTGTTATGGATGTTCACTACGTATCCCTGACTGAAGATTGCTTATGGTTAAGGTCTGTTATGAGACGTGGTTTGCAGTGGGAGTGAGAGGCAGAACAAGGCAAAGCGAGGATGTGGGACCCCTACTGAAGGGAAAAAGGGTAGTCGTATTAGCCCTTAGAAGGCAGGACGAGTAAGGGGTCGTCCGAGTCCTGTCTGAAGGGCCATATCAGACAAAATTCATCGAAATGTGGGAGTAGGCAGAGGGCGAGGGAGAGCTGGGCGAAGGGGAGCTGGGCGAAGAGAAGACGAGAGGCAGCCAAGGAATTATTCTTATTACCTTGTAATTTACACTTCGATTTTTAGTGCGTGCATTTCTTCAAGCGTCCAGCAGTTGAAAAATCGACAAAAACAGTAAACATACCTTGAACGGCTTTTTATCGATTAGGATCGGGCATTATTTTTGGTGGGTCGTGTGATTCAACTGGTTTTTTTTTTGGGGGGAATTTACTGATTAACGGCCTTGTGAACTGTCATCGACATCTTGAAACTGCACGATGTCTCTTGCGCGAATCAGCTCGGAGCATGATACGCTGGGGCGATTCTGAGTTGTGGGGAAAAATTTGAATCAACAGCGGCTTAATGAGAGCACAAATACAGAGCCTCTTCGGGCGGCAAGGTGCTGAAAAAAAGTTATACGATTAACGAAAATGCAACTAGTGCTAGAAACGCTCACCTGCTACCTCCACAAAGTGTCGTCGATCCTCCGATGTTCACGTGAAAAGCATGCCTGACGCCACGCGACCTCATTGGGTTAGGCAACTGAGCTGAAATAAACAAGGCTCAACCCTCCGCCAACACGGGTGGACAAAGAAAGACCTCGTTTCCTCGTGAGCCATCGGCACCTCATAATAAATGAAAAATAGATCTACGAAGTGTAAAATTTTGCGATCCCCCCTCAGTGATCCTAGGGAAGTGAACCACAAGGCAGGTTCACTTCCTGGACCAGGAATGCTTACTAGGCGGGATCCACTCGGTGGTCTCGACAGCTCCCACAATTTAGGAGAGATTGCCCTGTTCTCGAAAAAAAAGTGAAATTCAAAGCTAAGTAGAGCACCGAAGTAATGGGATAAGGTCGGCGTGGCGACATGACGTCAACCCTTTTGGTGTGCGCCATGCACTGACCTTCCATCCCAAATTGTGTTAGAACTAGAGATATGTCATATACGCAAGCTAAGCCAAGGCACCAGTCGCACAAGGCGGTTACCGGTTAAGGGAGCCCGGGGAACCCAAGGCTTGATTGGCCTAGAAGTCATACAGGTTACTAAGTGATCCCCTGAACGTATGGTATGCGTATGGTATCACGTATGGTATGCAGATACATACTTACCAGTGCTCAACCTCTGCCCTGGTAGAACCCTAGCCGAAGAAGGGTAGCGTTTTCGAAATCATCTGGAACTGAACTTATCGACCGCAACGACGGCTAGAGTTGACACCTTTCCAAAAAAGGTTTTTCCGAACAAAAAAATGAATCAACAATTTTCTTGCTCTTCGAAAGAACTGTGAAAACAAAAAAGTTCATTTTTAGGCTTCTTCCGATGTTGAAGTCGATGCGACGGGAGGCGAAAAGTATGGCAGCGTTTCATTTTGCCATGGAAGGCAGCCATCAAGAAAGACCAGAACAAGTTGGACGTCTTCCAGGTGATCATTTTGTGACTGTGGTTTCTGTCGGCACGTATTTTCACTCCGCTATCGGTTGTGGTGCGTTCTGGCCGATCACAAAGCGCGGGTTGGGCTGACCACGAGGTGGTCACTGAACGCTTCAAGGGTGAACTGTTAACACCTCATTACTTATCTGTCTACGACGCGACAGCCTTGCGGCGGCGTTGTTTTGTGGACGACGTTGTTGACGGACGATTTATGATCAGTCAACGGGCGCCAACTGGCGCGGGGGGTGGCCCATGGGAAATTCCAACCATTGAAAGACACGCGGATCACGTGCAAATGAGCGAGACCGGTTCAGGGCTATTCTTAGTCGACGATCCATCAACCGCACCTTCACCCATGCACAGGTTATTACGATTGTTTAATCAATCTGTTATTTACGATGCCGCAAAGATGGAGCGCGAAACCGGACAGGACACGTCTGATCACAAGGAATGTCAGACAAAAATAGAAGTAAAAAGAGCCTATAAAGGAGTTTTCAGAAGCATTGTCAGTCGAACAGCCACCCCTGGCCTGGGGGTGTCCTTTCCCGCGGTGCAAAATTTAGTGGGAAAAACTATGTACTCATGTATGAACTGTGATCAAAAGGTCGATATTTGATGGCGAGGATGGTAGCACTTGGGTAGCACTTCCGGGGATGTCAATGCTACTTAGTGATCTCTGATTTAGATCCCAACTGGTTCGGGAATTGTCATACAGTTGTATGACAATTCCAGCTCAGGGGAATTGTATCAGTACTGTGAACTTGGAGCACTTGGTGTTGATGCGGTAGTCGCCCGGGTCGGGTAATGGCGCCGGTCCTGCGTGTTCTGGAACTTTGCAGCCTGCTAATAAGCTCAGACTGCTACTCAAAAGCGACCAGTAAAGGAGCATGTAAGAGTTGTGGTTTGGACTGGGGAGGGGAGGAATCATCTACCCTGAGGGGATTTCAGCGTTCAACGGTATAGGAAGTTATTATACCCACTAGTTCTCCCTATGAACACCTTAAACAGATCCATTCGTGTAATTTTCCCCCGGGCCAAACAGATGATCAGGATGGCCTAGTAAAGCCGGCCACCGATGTACAAGCAGCGCTGATAGAGCTAGAGTTCTCTTTTCAGGTAGCCGCATTGATGGGGTTCCACTTAGGGTAAGGGCAGGGTAAGTGTTACTCTGAGAAGGAGTTGAAGTCGAAACAACCCACATCTTCAACCCAATCACGCTCTAGCCCACTCGAAACCACCCACCATCTTCGAATCCATCCACCTCCCCCCTTACTTACTCAGCAATCGTCGGTTCTGGTGATCACCAGCAAATCGTATAAAGAGTCGTCCTTTTACTCACTTTTCCGTTTGAATTTATCTCCAGGCAAAATTATCCTCTCGAAGCACGATTCCCTTTTGACCCTAAATTTATCCCCATCTCTGAAATCTTTTTGGTAAACTGCCAACAAACGGCTAACCGCGGGTGAATCGGTCCGGTGTTCCCAAGATTTCTAACTCTCGAATTCTGGGTAATGATAGCATCAGCTGATCAACATTAGTGAACACTAAGGATGAATAAGTAAGGTTAAGGGTATAAAGATGGGCCTTAAAGGACTGATTCCATTAAAAGTTACCGGTAAGCACCAATTACTGGAAAGCCAATTGCTGCCGTCAATGTTTGTCATCCGAAACTTGAAGTAACCTGCTATTCTACCTTCAAAGTGCTAACATGAGTAACCCTACCTGACCTCGGCACAAGAACTTCTTACGTCATTTTTCAATGAGTCAAGAGCATTCAAGCACTCACAGAACGTTACCAGTTTGGCGCTTTTCCCTGAATAGTTCCGCAATTGAGGAATTCTCGAATTACACAAAAAACCCCTAACCATAAATGAATCAAACCATGAGTCATTAGGTTAATGGCTGATAACCTGTTTGACGATTTTTTTTCCTGAATTGTCTCGCCATAGCGGTCGAAGTTTACTGTGGTGGTATCCAAGGGGAAGTCAGACTGCTTGGCATGCGCTATGCTTCTTTTTCTTTGTTGCCAAGCTTGACGCAGATGGATTTGTTCAGAGCTTATCCATGGGCTTGAGGTCAGTTGGTTTGCCTTCTGCAAGCTATTCGTCGAGCGTAGCTCCAAACCATGCAGTTAGGGACTAGAAAAGCCTTAGGATCTAATAGCGTGTTTAAAATCGAACTTTCTTGGGCAGATGGGCCACTTGGCACTGCGCCAACTGAAGTACATTCGCCTTATCAGCAGAACTTCACCAATTTTGTGACGCAATTCCGCCAAGTGATCTTGGCGAATGGTGAATCACAGATCAGAATCCCATACGTCGTAAGTGCAAGTTGTTCTCGTTCGGCCAACATCTTCGGTATTCTTAAATCGGGTCACCCTGCTCACCTTTCTCACACAACCAACGTCTAGCGTGCAGAGTTGCCCTTTCACCTGCACCTTCCCCGTCAACGCCCCCCGTCTATCATCTTCAACAGAACACAACGAATCTGTTCCAATACTCGTCTATGGTCACTAGCAGCACATTGTTTGTGACACGGCACAATCCGACCCACAACCGACTGACTACTGACGCGCTTGTCTCGCCGTCTCTCCCTCGTAACGCACAGTATTTCGCCGCTGTTGAGCGCTTTTGGTCGCCTGCTGGAAGGGCGGAGCGCTGTTGCGCACTTATCGCAAGACACTCCGACATGGACGGCGGTGGTTGTAGTCCACCTGTGGATCCCATTCAAGGGGAACAACGCTTTACTGAATTTACTCACTCTACAAACGACGACATCAATGTCGACGAGCCTTCGACTTTTTCGGCAATTTCGGCAGCACCGCTGCCACGACCTACGTCGTTCACAAATCTCCAGAATCTTGGCGGTGGATTACGACGTCCGCTCGCTAAAAACGCACTGGTCGCTCGACCTTCATCTGTGGCACGTGAGAAATCCGTGGCCATCAATCGCTTCAAGAAATCAAGAACAAGACGGTTCTTTCACCCGTATGCAAAGGTGGGTGTCTGATGTGTTTTTTGATATCACCGACGGTTGATCTGTTCACGCTCGCCGACAGTGCAGCAGCTATTTTTAAACCCTCGTGCAATTCTCCGTTAGCGGACGGGTTTCTCGACAGTCTACAGATCTTCTGGCTATCTTCTATCCTCATCTAGAGCTCCTCTTTTCCCCGCTGATCTCCAGATCAACCTGTGGGTCGTTTCGGGTCGCCATTCGGGTCGTGCTATTGCGTAATCGCCGGCCGATTGCGTAATGTTGCGTCCACTTTTACAAGCTCCAAATGTTCAGCGGCTGGCGTTCAAGTGTTCCTTATCTCAACCCGGGAACTGCTGGCGTCAGCAACCGAAACCTCCGAGTCACACGTGATTTAGCCGACCACCACGATCACAGCAGCTCATTTGTTTAGGATTGTGTTGTTTTGATGTGAAGTCGCAATAGCGCGAAACAAAAAACGCGCTCAGTGTGTTGATTACTCAGCCGATCATTCCAATGATCATCCGTAATGCACGACCGCTAGCAGTTGCCAACTTTGGTGAACAACAGCCTTAGTAGATCGGGGTGATCAGTGGAATTAAGCCCGAGGGGTTAGTTGACTCAGCGGGAACAAGCTCGGGGGTCGGGGTTAACTGAAGGGTTGGTTTAAGCGGTGTAGGTGAAACATAGCTCATCCTTGGTGTGAACAGTTTTTTCCGGCCCCTTGAATTTTTCGAAGGTGTGCTAAAATAGAGCTCAAGACTGGATTTTGACGGGAAATGGGCCGTAACCCTGATTCCGCGCCCTAACCCTAACCCTAACCCAAACCCTTCTTCCAAGCAAATCCTCACGATGGGTCTTTTCCTGAGATTTCCTCAAAGTGTCTGAAATCATCGTTTCTCATTCGTTTTTACCGTCACATCCGAAACCTCCAAAACTTAAACCCTAACCATAACCCAACCCTCATCCCTGGTTTCTTCCATGTAGGGTTTCTATAGGGAACTGTGGACTGGTTCTTCATGAAGCACTGTTCGCTATTTATTATCTCAAACAACTACCGTAACCCTTCACGCTTTCCTTCTTGGTGCCTTTTAAATCGCGTAGTTATGGTCTTGTAAGAGGTTCGCCATTTTTGGATCCGCTGATTTCCTGCAAAATTCAAATTTTGGCCTAATCAATAGATGTAAAGAGAATTGTTTCCAATTCACCAAACACCATAAATTATCATATATTTTCATTAGTGGGCGCCTAATTAGCATAAGAAATTTTATGAAACAGATCAATCTATCCACTGTGGAGCCTCTCGGACCGAAGATAGTTTCCCTTTGGGTTACTAACAATGCTATACGAAGTTATTAATGAATCTTCTTCCACAAATCCCCCTTTCCTCCGCTCTCGTGGTTTGGTCTCTTAACCGAAGACAAACCATTCGAAGCACCTCGAGCGCTGTCGTAAACCTCCTCAAAGAACCGTCGTGAGCTGACTCACAGTACATCAACGCCGTGTTCTTCGCGCCGTTGGCTCAGCGCACACCCACCACAAGTCGCAAGACGGTCGTTTCGAGTCAACTACAAGCTTTTGCTCTACGAGTCGTGTGCTCGCCTTTTAGGTATTCCGAACTGTTCCCACAAAACCATTACGTAGGCGTTTTTCGTTCTCTGCTCTTTATCGACGTTCGATGTTCCACTTAGAATAATTGTGATTTGTGATGGGGAATTAGCAAATGTGGTTTGTTACGGTTACCCTACCCTCTCAGTAACCCATCCTTCCCCGAGGTCCTTTTTACCCTGCTATTCACGCCGAATGTAAACCGCAAGTGATTGTCATCAATTGACTCCGGGCGACAAACCCAGCCGTTTTACACTACGAGAACGGGTTCAACGTTTGGCCGCCGCCACCGCCCAGGACGCATTGCCATGGGCGATGGTTTCTGCCTTTGTTCGAGAAATGCAAAATCGGAATAGCGTTCTCCCCTGATTTGAATTATACGCCGCTATAACCAGCATAGGCTTGGCTTTTTCTGAATAGGAAAACGCTCTGAATCGGTCTGAAACGGGAATTTTTATGAGCGAATGTCTGTTGAATTTTGATTCCCGGAAGTTTTCTTCCTCTCAGGACATTTGTACTGTTGATCTTTGCATTTGAATTGCCTGAACGGCAAGCAAGGACTAAATTTGCCCTTATGAGATGTCTAGGGTATACTTGCCTTGATCTAGATAACCCATTAGGTAACAACACCGGGTATCAACGGTTCCCTTTGACTAGGGTTGGTTACCTTTACCTAACCAGCGCGAACCTTATGTCCTACCATTGCAAGTGACTCGCTCCCAGGCAGTTGAATGTTTGCAAAACTCGGCCAGATATAGCCGCGGCTACGTGGCCAGAAGTGGCCATGGCTACGTAACCTTGATGCCTCCCTGATTCAGGGAATAGTGAATCATAGATCATGATCAGTACGCTTGTTGGTGCGTATGTGAATACTTGTTTTGTCCTACCAATCAACCATCTGCCAGACGCTAATCGCTCTCGTTATTCATAGATCACTTCTTCATTGGAACAGGCTTCAATACGTGCAGACAGAAAGCAATCAATAATTTCAATCAATAAATATTCGAATATTTCAGGAAATCGGTGCTATTCAAGCATTGAAAGAAGTCGCATCGTCACCTGATGAGGTTGCCGCTAAATTCGCCTCCGAAGCACTCACCGTTATCGGTGAAGAGGTACGCGTCAAAATCAACTTGATCAATTATTGGAAATCAATATATCGATCCATTCCAGGTACCGTACAAACTTGCTCAACAAGTTCCTAATTGGACGGTCAAAGATGTACAATATTGGGTGAAAAAGGTTTGTTGATTATCCCGAATAGTTTTTTCTTCTGAAAATTGTCCTGTTTGTTCAGTGGACTGTTTGTTTGCTTTCTTATGGCTTGCAATTGTGCACGTGCAAGTTTGAAAAAGGTGGTCCTGACACGACAACTGTTGAGTCACCGTAGTTTGCTTGATGAGACTTCGCGTGCACTCCCGGTGAACTACACGAACACCTGCCGGTAATTCGAAAAAGACCACAGAAAGACCAAATATGCGGGCGCTACTGCTGGGGGTTGGGAACAGAGCGAACCTGGACGGCTTTGGGGTCGAATCCGGTTCTTTGCCAGCGAACGTTGCCTAAATTTAGTAACGTTTCCCGATTTAGACGTACCTGATCTTGTGCATCACGCAGTGTTTTCGGTACTCATCCAGATAGTGCTACCCGGTAAACAGCCTATAAGGGTTACTACTACATTCCAAGGCTGGTAAACATTGCCTCATGGCCGGTTACCCAAGCCATCGTCTAGCCATCCTTGTAGGCCCATGTGGTCATTCTGCGCAGTGTTCACAAGATCAATGATGAAAGGTGGGAAAGACCAAGAAATCGCGCCATCGCTGGAACCGATGGTGATATCTTTGATTTCTTGATCAATGCGATCCATAGAAATCGATCGGTCTCTCATACTGGTATACTTCCGCCTGGGTAAAGATTCAAGAAATTTTGGCAACATTCCATCTAAATTCTGTCAGTCATCGTTTTTTAAGTTCCTCAGAGACCACGCCATACATCAGAGAGCGTCAAACGTTTGGCAATGTCATTGTTTTTGATTGCCCTATCAGGTTTAGCACTGATTACAAATATATACTGGTTAGTGGGAATGGACTCTGATGGAATAGTGGGATTTGTGGCCTAATGAATAACAGAACGCAGCCTTTGGCCTTCCTGCGGTGGAGTTTTCGGCTGGTTTCTAGTTTCCGGTTGATCTCCATGTTGCTAATCGGAGTGACGAGCGGGTCAGAAATAACTTTTTCCCATGATATACAACTTACTGTCCAAAGTCTGCACCACACATTCCGAATCCTCTGCAAGGACATATGGGGTTAAAATATCACCTGTTCCGGGCATGGCCAAGTTTAGCAAAAATTGGTGAAAAAGTTAAGGTTATGATTTCTTTCAAAGTTAACATGTAAATGATTTCAGATCGGTTTCGAGGACTACGTTGATCACTTCGCTAAGCAAATGGTCGATGGAGACATATTGTTGCACGCGCTTGAATGAGAAGGAAGCTGGAAAGAGACATCGGCATGTCCTCAGGACTCCATCGGAAGCGATTTATTCCGTGAACTCGAAAGCCTCAAAGTGAGCCTTTAAAAGAGTCCCTAGATAAGCGGACCCTGCCACCGCGCCGGACTAAAGGTAGAGAAGACGAAGAAAAGCCCCTAGAAGTTCAAATTGCGGTCATTACTTTATACGAAGGACCATAACCCTACGGACCTTTACGGTGTTGAACAGCAAACCCAGGGCATGGCCAGAGGGGTGGCTGCCCTGTGTAGTTATAACTAAACATGGTCCATCGGCCACCGTTTGAGGTTTTTTGACCCCTTACAAACCTTCCACAACCTCTATAGGTCAGATTGGGGCCCTTGCCTTAAAGAGGACTCTACCGTGGAGGAACTGGTAACCCAGCTTACCCGGGTGGGAACCCAAAGACAGTGATTTCCCAAGGAATCGGTATAAAGATAATTCTTGCCATTTCAGATTGCCGCTGACTATTCAGCTGTGGACGAGAGTAACCTAGACCAACTGCTGATGTCACTGAGCCCAGAACTCTCCGTTTACACCTACAAGGTAACGCATTTCTGGAACTTTTTCTCAAGTTTGTTTCCTGGCAGTTTTCCAACATTCTTTTTTCAGATGTTGTCGTGTGGTATCAATCGATCATTGCTAGGCTCGTTAACCGACGAACTAATGCAGACCGCATGTGGAATCACGAATCCAATCCATCGACTCAAGATGACGCAAGCTTTCCAAAGTGAGTAAGGCCCTCTGTCGAGAAGACCCAAAAAACATCGTTCAAGAAGGAAAACGAAGCGACGTGTGGTTACCAAGGGGGGATAAAACCCCGCGCACATTTTTTAGTTTCATAGGCATTTAATGGTTTAAACAGCAGCTTATTTGGGACATTATTGCAGGCATTAAACAGGACGAAAGCGCTTGAGACTTTTCTGGGACAGGAGCCCTTGAAAAGGGAGGAATCGCGCTCACACGGAGGATTCGATCCGATTTTATCGTCATCTTACTGCTGCTGTTTTCTTACTGCTCCATGAGCATTGGGAGGCTAGAATCCCTAGGCGTGGGAAAACACAGCCGCTTCGTTACCGCTGGAAATCGACTAGCATTAGCTGAAAATGCGCAACTATCAAAGTTAGGGATTCGGGGCTACGTTCAAGGGCAGTAGACGCATTGTATCCTTTAGAAAGAGCGCTCAGAGGGGACAAAAGGAGCTAAGGCGCACAGACTCACTTCCCATGGGCTCACTCTGAAGCGCTCTATTTAAACGGACCATGCGACTACGGAGACCTTGCTTACCAGCTTCTCCAAACTTCCCCTGGGACAAACGACTAAGATTTCCAGGTTTCAGATCCAAAACATCCAGACAATTCGAAAGATGGCCATGCTAGGCATAGCAAATCGACGTGTTATCATTATAGATAGCCAGTACCGGAAATTCACTGCCAGCCTTATCAAAGTGTTACTGCAGTTGAAAGGCTACAAAGTGAGTTCGACCTGTCCTTTTGGATGTACTGCTCTCAGTACTTTTACTGTTTTCAGGTGTTCATCGACGTCGACAAATTGTACGCTGGAAAATTCGACTCATCATTATTAAAGAATATCCAAGCTGCTAAACACTTCATCCTCGTCCTTACGCCTAATTCCCTCGATCGACTGCTCAACGATCACAATGGCGATGACTGGATACACAAAGAGGTGTGTAAATTCTTCAAAATTCATATTTTCGCCAAAAAAGCTTATGTGCATTTCGTATTCCGACTTCCGACATGTTCTTGCGCTACAGCAGTCCATCCAAACTTGGGGTAACTAGGCCCAAATAGTCATCGGGTCTTAGTGTAATATCTCGTAGTTCTGACCTCTTTTTCTCATCTCTGGCATTTGAGCTATTGCCCCCTCAAAGTTCCGGTTTCCGATTTCCGAAAGGCACATATTTATCAGCAGCTTCCGTTTTTCCCCCTTGTGCAAACGGTATAAGCTCTAAACATGCTAAATTTTGCAAATTCTGCCATGCACCTTCCGAATCCCGTACATTTTCGATCTTTCTGTTTCGATTTCCGAAAGCTGAAAACCCCCATACCAAATCTAGGCAGAGGTTCTTCAAATACATCAGTTTTTATGTACAAAAATCTTTACAACTGTAAAATATCATTCTGACTATTATATTTAGTTCCTATATTTTATGAAAATATTCATTGGATTTCAGCTGAAATGTGCCTTCGAATATCAGAAGAACATCATTCCGATTTTCGACCAAGCTTTCGAATTCCCTCAAAACGAGGAGCAAATCCCTCAAGATATTCGAATGATCACCAAATACAACGGTGTCAAGTAAGTATTACTTATTACTGTGGTGATTTTTCCTCATACCGTACTTATCACTAAAAATTTTCACTTTAGATGGGTCCATGACTATCAAGACGCATGCATGGGCAAAGTTGTTCGCTTCATCGAGGGAGAACTCAACCGAACGCCCAGCCTTCCGGCTCCGGTAAATTTTTTCTCCAACTATGTAGGCGAATCGGTTTTCACAGGAGGGGGGGGTGGCAAAATAGAGAAAATGGAATAGAATGACTATGTTTGGGCCGTAAATGCAGAATTTTTGAATTGTAATGCTGGTCTAAAAGCAAATCTAGTAGGACGGGTGACACCTCTGACGATGAACATTACAGCTTTACGGTTTCGGCTCCGCTTACTAATTGAGTGCTTTCAGTCTCACACCGCGCCACATCCGCGACGCGCGCCCAGCGGTCGATTTCCGACTTCACAAACGAGCATACGACAAGCTTCGACAACCAGTCATCGGGCCGGACGAGTTGGAGAACATCCACCGTCAACGCCTACATGTAAGTTTCGTTATTCGTTCGACGTTTATCGGTGAATGCTTGTTGGCCATGTATTAAGATATAGTATTGATTAGTCGCTCAAGCCGATAGGTTTCCAGAAAGTGTACTTTGATCTAGTTCGCGAAAAGGAAAAGGTAAAGAGGAATTGTAATTGCAACGGACCTCCCCCTAGCGACCTTTTGAAATCCACCATGTTTATTTTTCAAAGTAGTTGAAGCCTGGGCCAAAACTGATACAGTGCTTTACCATGAAAGCTAATTGACCCTGTTTCAGTCACACCAGCGTCGTCGACGGATAAAAATCGACGGAAACACCATACCTCCGTGACAACGGTATACGATCGTAGCTAATCAAGCTGAAGTCGCCCGTCAAATTGGCGGCTTCACATGGATGAATTTGGAGAGAATCTCAACTCTCATGTAATTATTCTGAATACGGGTTTTGTTATTAGTTTCAACGTTGTGATTTCAATCCTTAATGCATTTTCACGGGACCTTTCTGTTGATTTTCTACCGAGAGAACACACCTCATCTCCTTATTCATTTCTCGTTTTGTTTCCCTTCTCATGTGTACGATTAGTGTACAGTACTGACCCCTGTGTATGTACAGTAATAAGATATGCAAGAGGTACTTAGCACTCTCGCTCGTGGGCTGGACCATATTGGAAGGTCATTGCCTGTGCCTTTAAGTCCAAGATATACCGACATCCTGGCACCGCCCCGCCCACGAACGCGGCCCACATAAGAACTATCTCAGCTTCGCCCACGCTGCGCCCAGTTGTCAATGTAGTCGCGGGCCTCACGTACAGAAATTTTAACAGAGTAATCATCTCCAACTTTTAGTAAGAATTCTTAGAAACATGCAGAGGGTAAAACGCGTTTACCACCCACGAGTCATGCAGTGTTCTTCCCTCACGTTCATTCCATCATTCATCACCTGAATTGCGGTTTTTATAAGCACGCACAGCTAATAAAGCAGGGAAATTCTATGATAATAATCTTTGATCTACAAAACTGTCTCAAATGTGCTCGGTGTTATTTCTATTGTTTATTGATGATTGGGTAATAAATATTTGCCAACAATTATTGTTGACCCAGACAATAACATCAACCTCAAATTATCAAGACGCAGTGCTAACCGACAAATATTTGAGAGGCAGACGTTCAGAACATGCTGAGGAGATAGGAGAGTGGGGTGAGCAGCGTACAAGGAAAAGTATTTCTTGCGCCAGCATTTGTTTTGAAAACTCAGTGAGACAACGGAACCGATTTTGGGATTCGTGTTAAGATTTGTATACGGGAGCAGAGAATAAAGGAAAAGCATTGTGCATTCAATCTCTTCCATAATGCGCCACGCATTCCTCAATCCGCGCATAAAGGTATTGAATGAATCTATTTATGTAATGACTGAAGGGGCACCCGATTTGTGATGACAGGAAGAATGGAAACTTGGTGGCCCGGCAAGCTTTCGATACGGAATTCGAATCGCGGGCCTTGCTATCGGGAATGCGCCCTGCCACCAAACAACGTCGGCCCTTTGTGACAAGACTTGCAATGAAGCATGAAAAAGCGGTGTAAATTCGAACCACACTATTTCAGCTATAGCGCACACAACTAGTTTAGCTCGAGGGCACGAGGGTGGGTGTGCCAAGCTGAACGATAGAAAATGTAAAGGCATGCAGATAGTAGGATAAGGTCACGTAGGTCGACCCATTTCCTTCAAACGCGATCGGTCCGTGTATAAAATCTTGACCGAATTGTTGATGAGGCATACCAGGTCATAGAAAATACAATCGCTGATCTAAAGCACGATGCCTGCCGGCTTCCCATTGAACTGCATTTCAAATGAACGGCTCTACGGCTAAAATACTTATTAAACGGTGACCCACTTCCTCATAGGTTATTCAGAAACTGCGGGAGCTCAGCTTCAATGGAACCTCGTGCAGGACTTACAAAAAACATAAGGATTAGGACCTAAGGAAAAAGCCCTTACAAACAATCAGAACGTGTTGCCCTTGCCTCCACGTCCACTCATAGGTCCCTCCCGCCTGGCTTCTCCAGAGCAAGTGTTCACGCTTACAGTCAAGTGGAAGAAATGTATGCGCCCACTAATAACCAACGGTTGCCTCCAACGATAAATACCGATCATGGTCGCATTCGCTGGGAAGCGCCCGCATCACGTAGCAAGCTGCTATTCCGTCCTCTCCGTCCCTCTCCTTTCGCCCTCCCTCCTCCCCCCTCTCAAAGGTCTCGTCTCCCCTGAGGCCGGGTAGCTTTTAGCAGTGAGCAGAGCACGCGCGTTCACACCTTGTTGACCGTCACATGTGACCACCAAAACTCCAACAGAGGAGATAGGGCTTTGCTTTGAAAATTGTGAGAAACCAGTTCCTTAAGAATTTTGGGCCTGCTGCAGTTTCTAGTAATTCCAATTAACTCTGTCCAGAGGACCAGTTATTGTAGCAGCCAGTTTATCGTACAACCAGCCTTCAAGGGCAGCTGGTATGATAAAGTGTTACCACGTGGGAAGCGAAAACAGAGGGGATAAATATTGAAGTAGCGTAGAAAAACCAAATGATGGCTTACTACCTATGAAATGAGGCCCACGCGCGCTGCCGTTCATTTCCGCATGGACGAGAACGTGACCAAGGCAGAGATTGTTCGGACGGGTTTACCCTCACAGCCGGCCAGCAGAAGTAATGCGCTGTCTTTTACGATATAACTAAGACCGACAAATTAGAGGATAGATCCGCTTGAAATTGAATACAGTTCCATATGATCAAAAGAAAAGTCAACGATGATGGTAATCGGACCAGCATCCAACAAGCTTCCTTTATCGTCCAGACCAGGCCCGGTCGCGAAAGCCTTGTCAGATCGCCACGGACGCACTCTTCTCCGCAGAAGCCCCACGTCTCGTTTCCTCGAGCCCCTAACCTTCCTTCCATTCCTCATTTCTTCATTTCTTTTTCTTCTTCTTTTATTCCCCTTCTTAAAACCCCAATCCACCACCCCATTTGAAGGCAAACTCCGAGATGGGAATCTATTCAGTAGCTACGATAAAGCTGCACGCCGATGTGCCGTTGACACCACGAAAAAAGGCGATCAGGGTGCTGGGGTTTGCCAACGCTCCGACTACCAACCATGGCTGGTAAGTTGTTCAGAGACGGCTCTGTGCCCTCTCGTAAGGTATGCTCTCCCGCGTCTTCCGTCTTCTCTGATCGCTCGGAAGCCTCGTCGACGCTTACGTCGTGAGGGGAAAGTATTCTGGGAGGGGATGTGAACAATTTTTGCTTTTCCTGGCGTTTTCCCCCTGTTCCAGGCTTAGTCCAAATCCTATCTACAGCGGGTTTAGGAAGCCTCATGTCCAGGGTCTCCCCTAAGCCATGGGCGCCTCGCCGTCGTACCACACCCGACCTTACAGAGGTTTAGTTCCTTAGACCCTCAACACACATGACAACATTGTGACGCGGTCGCGCGCCCCACCTTTCATCATCCCTTTCTTGTTCATTGCTCTCTTTTCCCTTTCTTCGTCGTCCGTCTAAGGCTTTTCTTGCTTTTGTCCAATCCAACCGCTCGATGTTCAATTCGTCGTTATCCCATCCACTGAACCCTACTATACAGGAATGGAATACTGTAAGAACGGGGTTAATGTGAAGCGACAAGAAAAACTCCTAATCCTAGCTGATAAGGCATTCGGGATAAACTAACTGCTGCTAAGGGGTGGTTCAGTTCACATCTATGTTTCCACGGGTAGGGTTGAAAGAGGAATCTCAGCCATTGTCATGACTCGTGCTGTTCAGGTTTTCGAAAAAGGTAAAACTAAGAAGACTTTGGTGTCGCCCAGCTCCACAAAGATAGAGAAAAAGAAAACATCTCTCACTCCCAGGAAGAAAGAAAGTTCAAAGAAGATAAAGAAGAAAACTGCCGGTGCATCTGCCACAACAACTGCAGAGACATCAAGTAGGCACCGGAAGAGAGATGTCAAAGACTTGCAGAGTTAGTTTAGTTTTTGGCTTAGAACGAGTTGTAGACGTTTTAGTGCCATTTGAAAAACACAACGAGCTCACAACCTAAAGTGACAAGAAGATACCTTAGGGTTGATGTGCTTGGGGTAGGCGCATCATTACGCGGAGTCCATACACCGAACAATCCTTCCTTAGGTCCCTCCTTAGGCTTAGGGAGTGGACTAGGTGTGTGAGGAACTTTTCAATTCTCCCGAGGTTGCTCCAGGGCTCCTGGGCTCAGCCCACACAACGATGCTCCCCCTGATAACACCAAGATCGATGACTGACTTGAAATCAGGGTAATCAAAGAATGCAGCCGGTCAAAGCTGAGGGGTTCTTGAAAATGATTACTGATTTGGTGTTCTATCCACAACGCTTGGCTTTGAAGTATGGTTCAGAGTTGGCGGCGAAAAAATATAGGTCTAAGCGAATGGGACCGATGTCAGACTTTGCAAATCGCGCGATTCGCTAGCGTCTGCGGTCGCGTCGCGGCCAGCGAATCACTCAATTGGCTGGTACCGCAACGCGACCGCGGACGCTAGCGAATCGCTCGATTCACAAAGTCTGGCCCAATGGAGCGTTCAGAATTGGCGATTGGACGATTAGCCTATAATGAAAAGTTACGTATAGATTAGGCGATTAGGCGAGTAGGCGAGTAGGCGATTGCTCAGGGGCGGAGCAACAAATCAATACGTATCCTTCCCTTATCACCTAGCCTGCTCGACTAATCAATACGTGTACTTGCCTTTTTTTATCATCGCCTAACCGTACGTACAACTATGGACGCTCCGTAGGGGCGGGGGGGGGGGGTGGAGTGACAAACATGTAATCGCGTAAACCCCTCAAAGGGCCGGTGGAGTCAGAATCATACCCACCTTAATCGGCTGCCTTGAAACTTGGGTGATAAACTCTTGGTTGCACGAGCGGGATTCGGTTCGGTACTTACACAACCTCAATTGTGGTGCCGACGTGACGGACCGCGCGCGATTAGGTACCTCGAAGAAGAACTGCTCCATACTTGCAAAAGTGGATTATAGTTGCGCGTGTGAGAACGGAGAAACAGTGAGAAGACCCATTTCTACGGCAGATCGTTGTTTGGCCGTAGCCTCAGCTTAGGCTATCTTCGGCATGTTTCCAAGCCGCTGAATTCACTGCGCAGTATAGCATATCACTTAGGCAGCGGTCAGAGTTGGCGATCGTACATGCGATTAGGCGATTAGGCGAGTAGGTGACAGCGATTGCTCAACAACTCAATAGGTACCCTTCGCCCAGTCGCCTAATCGCCAACTCGGAATGCTGCCTCCTACGTCTAACCATACCTGCAAAGAGCAACAGCTTCGTCTTGTGACTAGAAGAAACGATACGCAAAGGTATAGGAGGCGATGGAGAGTGTGCGTTGATAAAGACGGTAACACTTGAAAGATTTTTCACTTCAGTATTCACCCTACTCCTTTTCATAAACCACAACCTTTGTGTGCCGCCTTGTTGGCCTTGGGGTGCATATCAGTCGGGTAGATATCTATGTCTGCCTGTTCGTGCAAAAGACAAGGGGTGAAGCGAACGAATTATACGAACCCTAGGACGTAAGCAAACCAGCCCTTTTGGCGCTTCGGCTGGGACCGTGTGCTGAATGTTGGGGAGGGGATGGAGTCTCCGACGGTAGACGGACCACTTCAACTCGGTCCTTAGAACCGCCACAATTTGGTGCTTACCTCAGAACTAAGCCTTAAAGAGAGGACGGGTCCGTCCCCTCTCCAAGGCTTAGTCCTGGGGTGAGCAAACCAGCCCTTCGGAGCTGCTGGACCAGCTGCACCACTTGCGTCAGTACTCTCCTATCGTACCAACCGAGTTGAAGTAAACCGTCGACCGTTGGGGACCCCATCCCCTCCCCAACATTCAGCATACGGTCCCAGCCGAAACGCCAAAAGGGCTGGTTTGCTTACCTCCACCTACTAGGGCTGCTGCTGACGCCTAGGCAAGCTCTCATAGCCTGCGTAGACAAGATAACAACAGCTAGATATTAACTGGATATATGATTCACAATAGATGTCAAAACATGACACACACTGTGTTAATAGGTACAATAACAGTAAAACTAAACATTAATTCAAAACCGAAAGCACACTTACGAGTTCAGAAAATCTTGCCAAATCAAACAGCACAATTCGACCCTGCGCGTGGTCATCGTGAAGTTATTACAAAATTTGTCTTTCTCGCGTTTATCACTTTATTATTACCAGTTTTGCTTCGCCCGCTATCGCGCGCATCACACGGCAGGCTTTAGCGAAATTGGAGGACCCATGGAATATCAGCATGAGATACTCCATTAACCATCTCACTATTGACTGTGTTAGACCCTCCACAGTTTCACTGAAGCTCATCGAGAATACGCGTGATAACGTCTGAGCTGAACTGGTATATTGATCACAACTCTGTAAACATCCAGCATTTTTCTTGAATTAAGATAATTTAGCGGTGAATAGGATTGCTGTCAGTCTCAAAATCAAAACGAAATATGCCTATTTACATAAGTGAGGAGCTAATGCTTATCATTCATTTACATTCATCATTATTTAGAACCACGAAAGGATTAGCGGTTTAATGAGTCTGGGCTTTCGTGATAGAAATGAAACTTATCATTTGCTGAAGACGATTGAATTTATGCAATCGACTGCTATTAATTAAGCTGGATATATATCGAAATAATGTGCACGTACCTTTGTTTGTACTACTACGACTTACTACAATTTGTAAGTAGGAACGCTCTAGTGTCAACGCTGCGTAACGAAATTGACGACTTTTGCGTTCTGGCGCGCCTTATCGGCCCTTATCAATCGTTATCAGTTTCTGGCACCCACCAACAATGTCCCCGTCCCACCCCACATAACACTTGTAAGTATGGTTGCTCTGGTGTCAACGCGAGCCAGGCAACGGAATCGACGACTTCAGCGTTCTGGCGCGCCTTATCGGCCCTTATCAATCGTTATCAGTTTCTGGCACCACCAACAATGTCCCCGTCCCACCCCACATAACACTTGTAAGTATGGTTGCTCTGGTGTCAACGCGAGCCAGGCAACGGAATCGACGACTTCAGCGTTCTGGCGCGCCTTATCGGCCCTTATCAATCGTTATCAGTTTCTGGCACCCACCAACAATGTCCCCGTCCCACCCCACATAACACTTGTAAGTATGGTTGCTCTGGTGTCAACGCGAGCCAGGCAACGGAATCGACGACTTCAGCGTTCTGGCGCATCTTATCAGCCTTATCAGTTGCTATCGCTTCCAATCATGTACCACCAATGTCCCGGGACCGCCCCACATAAGACTTGTAAGTATAGACGCTCTAGTACCAATATGAACGACAAAACGAAATTGGCGATGCTCGCTTTCTAGCCCCTCTTATCAGCTATTATCAGTCGTTATCAGTTCCTATCACGTACCACTTGTGTCCCCATCCCACCCCCTATAACATATGTAAGAACCACTGCGCTATCATTACTGTGACTCGAGCTATGAATTTCCGGTCAAACACACACACACACACAGACACACGCTAGCCGCTTATATATAGTAGGATACGAATAAAAACCGTACAAAAAAAAACTTGGTAAGAGGAGTTCATGCGCGAAAAAGATGCCAAAGTGCTGACGAGCATGAGCGTTAGAACATTTCATGCAGTCTGCAAGTCTAAGTCTGTAGGCTGTTCCCAAGGGTATAATTATTGGGTGTTAATAACCCTATTCTATGCATCAACTTGTGAACGACTTAAAGGCACAACCCAGGCAGAGTTCGTGTGATCGCTTCTCTTCGGTCTCTAGTATAGACCCCTAGAAGACAATCGCAGATGTGGCCTCCCACCGATAAGAGCGCTTAGGCCTTGCAAAGTAAGCTGCCCAAGCTGCAGACTTTTTTCTTATCAGGCTGTTGTCTGGCGCTCTCTCATCTGTAGCGCTCTCTCGCCTCATACTCTCCTCTCCGCGCTTAGTCTCTCATTCCCTTAGCACAGCCGATCAGGAAGGTGAGTGAGCCCTTAACCTAAGCGTTTTTGACGGATTCTTTTCCTTTTTTCTTTACTGCCGGCCCACTTCCCACCAGTACAATCACATTCGTGCACATGGGCCACACCAATGTGATCCTGGGGTATAGGCCTTTTAATTGTATTGATATACCACTACTCAGTAACATGGCGCGGATCATGCCATACCGGCACCACTGGTTGTCCCAACTCCAAAACGGCCAATAAATTAAAACGACTGTAAATATGTTCATATCCCTTTTTCAGCAACATCGTCAAGACGCAGAAGAAAGAAAGTTAATACTAAAGAGGTAGTTGAAGGTTGGTATTAGCTACTATGCTATAAGAATATCCACCAATACACATTACATTACATTTACACACAATATCATTCAAACAAGATGAACACATCACTCCTTCCGTTCTTCCTTCCCTAGTACAACTCGCAATTACGTCGATAAAGAATACACCGGGCTCCGATAAAGCCAACTTGAAACGCACGAGGCATTCACCATGTTGCCTTCAACACTCTGACTCGGCTCTCCACGCTTTAGCTGGTGGATGCAGAGTACCCTCGCCCCGGGCACAACTAAGGATATTGATGCTTTAGAACACAAACAGAAAACCTTCAAGGCATGGCAACTATCGCCCAATCCGTTTGCTGCTTGTAGCTTGCAACTTTCAGTCGAGACCCTCTTGACAAGATCGGCAGAACACTGGATAAAGTACAATTTAGGATAGGCAAGGTTTTGAGGAGGAACACATTCGATCATATCCGCATGGCTACGAGACTCTGCAAAAGTGCAGGTTGCCGCTTTGTGTCACTTTCGCAGGGAGAAGCTTTCGACTATGGTCAGTGGACATAGGCGGTAATCGAAGCCATTTGCAACCAGGATGTTCCTACTCAGTACATCAAGATTCTTCGTGAGCTCTACAGCAACTTTACGACCAGATCTCACCATTCTACAAGGAGGTCATCATCGACGTCAAGAGAGGGGTCGACAGGGCGGTAGTATCGAACTTTTTAGCGACACTCTTCGAGCGTCATGCGTCCACTGGAATGGAGAAGACACGGGAGTGGAGGTCGACGTCCGGCAACTACACCTACCTTCCGCTTTGCTGACGACATCGTTCTTAATAACGCCGAACATCGAGCAAGCGGAGCGAATGCTGGCTGATTTCGACAGCGCTGTGGGAGGATTGCTTGCAGTTGAACCTAACGAACATGATGTTCATGAAAAAGTGGTTCCTGGTGCTCCAATCGTTGAGCAGTTCCGTTCAACGGAACAAGTCTCCGAATGTTCCAGCTAAGGTCGAGAAATCCCCATGATAAACGATCTAGCTCCCGAGCTGAATGGAAATGAGCGGCATGGAAAGCATTCAAAAAATCGTGGATGTGGTGAAAAAGGAGAACATCCGGCTCCGTGCCCACCTCTTCGATTCCGCTGTCCTTCCTGCCACCTACGCCTCAGAGACTTGGACTCTGCGCAGGCAGGACGAGCATGCGGTCAGCGTTATCCAACGCGCTGTCGAGAGGACGATGCTAGGAGTAACCCTATACAGGCAGGTGCAGAGGCCATTCCGGAGTTCCAATCACGATTTCGTGGTGACTGTTGGACAAGAATGGTAACCGATTCGATCCCCCGGGACATCAAACGAACACTAGGCAGACCGCTGGCTCGGTGGCAAACTTCTTTCGGAAGGCCCAAGCAAAAGCAATGAGCTGCTCCGTTTCACTCGGACAAGGAGAATCTGGCTAGATTATTCGGCACACATTAACGATGTCGCCACTGCTCCCCTCCCCCCTCTCAAACTTCCCGTCCCCTCAGGGAATGCAATGACTGCAGAAATCCATTGTCTCGTTCATGTTCTGATCGTAGCTGTCGCAAGCTGTAGAATAGTAGCTTTCTTGGAATTCTCTGATAGGAACAAATAAATGTTGGCCCATAGTTGTTCGCATTCTGAAAGAAATGCAAGCCGTGAAATCGGAGAACGGGCGAAATGAATATGATTGGTATTGCTTGCTTAGCCACACCGTTTTGTGTAAATTAGCATGATGGCGACTTCAATCCATCGATTATCTCACAGTTCCTTTCTATTCTTTCTGCCAATTTTTCTCTTGTCCACCAAATCGTCACGTATCAACAGCTATCCACGTATCACCACAGCACTTTAGCCCTGGTGCTCATTGTGGCCGGCGGCGAGATATGCCTCCACCGCAGACTTCACAGCACAAGTAACGACGTTGTCCCAGAACGTATTGGTTTTTTTGTGATCAAATAATCAGCCGATTGAGTTGTACTCCGTCGGTTGTCACTAATCACTATCAGCTGCTATCACCATAAACAGCTGGCTACCAAATTACTCAGAAACTACCGTCGTTTGTGGTGTGGAGTTTATAGTGCAGAATTTCCTTGCTACAGTATACAAAGGTCACATGCTAAGTGATAATCATTGCCTTTATGACCACTGATGTAGAAGTTTGACAACCATAAAACTGACAATCTTCAGCGGAACCAAAGAAAAATGTCGCGAATAAGGATGTCACAGTGGAATCGGTGTGGAATGTTTATTTTTCTTTTGTTGTCTATTTTTCGCTCATTTTTTCATCAAAACTTTTTTAGGCTAGAGATGTTCCGATGGTTCCCACTGCGAATCAGATCACCGCTTTCGAACAGTTCGCCAAAGTTCGTGAAAGTTTAACGCCTTGATTCTGACGAGATTCAGCATAAAACCAATTGGTTAAGGTGGTCTTCACAATGGGCATTGACGGTTTAATTAGAGAATATAACGATTACTTGAAACCCTACGTCTCCTATCCATTCAAAAGGGAGGTCTTCGATCAAAACGCAACAAAAAATCGCTACAAAGGTATGGTGCTAAATCATATAGTACAGATGTAACAACGTGCTTTCGCGCCTGCGGCTGGTTAACAAGAGGAATGCATCAGCGATGTGCACAAGGCGTGGAGAAAAGCGTGAGGCTCCAGTGGGTGCTGATAACACTTTTGAAGAGAAGATGTGCGTGTTTCGAAAATGCTCCGGTGGAGTGCGCATAAAGTAGCAAGCTAGTTATGATGCGTGCTTTTCCACCCTATGGAAAAAAGTGTTGGTACGTGCTGGAAACCTGGTAGATGCGATGGTGTCGTTCGATCGGCGATCCAAGAAGTAACCAGAGGGACCTAATGACCAAATGGATGGCTTGGCGAGGGCCAACGTGCGCGGCGTAGAGGTGGAGTTATATAGTTGTTATTCGCACATAAAGGCAACTTGGGACTCCTTGAAAACAAACACGCAGAATAACAGAGATGACTAAAAGGCAATAAACCATATTGAGCGAATACGGAAAGGAAAGGATAGAAGTACGAATAGAGCTCTTATGGGTGCAACGATCAACTGACTGAGGGAATTGAAATGTCTATGGATGAATATTCTATGATATGCGAAATAATACAGGGCGGCCAGAATTACTGAAGAATTACAAGATAAAAAATTCGTAGAAAACCAATGGAGTCGAAAATAGAAAATTGGACAATAAAAATATGTTTATAGGAGGGGTCAATGAAGAAGACACCGTATCACTTCTCAAAGAGGCCATCGACACAGGAGCGAAGTCTCTTCGGGAACGCGTCGATCGCGGCGTGTAGATAGGTGACATCAGGTTCGCCTTCTTTCAGGAGCGACTCCTTCAATTCCTCGACGTTTCCGATGACAGTGGGAACATGCCTTCGCCTCCACAACGCTCCATACAGAGTAATCCATTGTGTTCGAGTCGGGGAACAAGGTGGCCACTCCTCCAATTCAATGAACTCCGGGCAGTTCTGGTAGCACCAACTCTGTACTGTTCTCGCCTTGTGTACTAACGCTCCGTCCTGTTGGAACGACCAAAATTCCTTCCAAAGGTCTCCTTACTTAACCAAAGGCTTCAGTTGCGCTTGAGTACCATTCCTGAAGCAAGCCAAATTTGATGTCTTTTGAATGATTAAATCCGATTTGCATGTAGCGTATATCCCGTCTTTCTGCCTATTCAAGACTGGTTCAACAGCGAACACCTTTTCATCGGTGACGAAACGTCAGATGGCGTCCATTGCGACACCAAGACAGCACTTTCGCACCGATAATTCCTTTTCTGTTTAGTCAACTCGGTGAGGAAGTACCCTCACTCGCTCATAGGCTTTCATCTTCAAGTGTTCGTTCAAAATCGTTTGCCAAAAGTACGCTTCATTCCCATTTCATCTGCAAACCTCGAACTGAACAAGCCGATTCCCATTTCGCACCTTATTAATATTGTCTCTTCTAATCGCGGATGCCCTTCTAACACGTCCAGACCGATCTCCGCTGTTGCCTAGCTTCTCGAACCTCGTGACGATCGCTGACACAAGCTTCCTCGTGGTACAGAACCACTTCGAAGTCTCACACAATTGAACGCCTTGACGGAATAAACGTATGATTGTATTACAATTGAAGGCTTGGTCATTCTAGAATTTCCACATTTCTCGTGGTGAAGTTATACAGCAGCCTCCTAGGGGAAGAAATATTCATAAACTCACGCATATAACACCTACCGTATAAAAATCCTAAATACACGCAGTGCGCGCTTGTAGCCCTAATTTCTGACCACCCTGTACATTATTATCATCAAACAAATACAATGACTATGAGGGCTGCGTTGACTTCCACTGAACCATTATAGTGACCAGAAAGGGGAATGGGAGACTTAAAGGACTCCCAGCGACTTCGAAGAAAGTTATCTATATTAGAACCAAAGGCAATAAATGTAGATGGCAAGGCTGATCCGTCCCACCTGAACTGGAAGACGTAATGATCATGGCAAAAGGATCAGGAGACCCGTGAGGCGATGCGCAGTACCGACCAGACCGGGTGCATGATGCAATGCGAAGTCACTAGTGTTGGCGCGCGATTTCAAAACTGAGTCGACCGGGGGCCTCCGAAGCTTCTCCACTTAGCGGGAACTCCAAATGTGCATTTCGTTGCGGCATGCTCTCAGCGTTCGCCCTGCAGCATATTTACTCAAGATCGCGGCGTAAGTCACGACAGTATCGTTGTGCTTCTCGAATAGTGGTCGTTCAACCATTAGTCACTTCCAACAGAGAACACGGTGCGACAAGACATTTTTTCCAGATGTGGTTTGTAACGATTATACTCGGGTAGTACTAAACGACGGAAAAGGTTCAGATTATATTCATGCAAACTATATAAGGGGAGAGCCATTAATTTGCAGTTATATATGTACACAGGTTTGCTGAAACTATTGACTGAGATTATTTATTCATTATTTAGTACTTGCTTCATCACCTCCATATATCAGGGTCCTCTGCCGACAACAATAGTAGATTTCTGGAGGATGATATGGTTAGAAAAGGTGTCCCACATAATAATGCTCTGTAGCATACTGGAATGTGGTAAGAAGAAATGCGAGCAGTACTGGCCAGAGGAGAACGGTAAAAGTATGACGATTAATGGTGAGATATTGCACTGACACAGAGTCTTAAAGGCAGTGATCACGGTGGTTGTAAGGTGATACATCTTCAAAGTTTTGAATTCTCATTGGTGTAAGGGCGTCAAGAGGCGGTCACAGCCACACCCTCAGCGCAACGAAGGATCTTCTCCACCGGTGAAATTCAGTGACGTCATCAAACCACTGCTAGCCATCATGACCACTTCCTTTGAATGTCGAGACAGGGGTCAGACTTTGTGACCAGCAGCTACTACAGCTAGTGGAAACATGAATGGGACACATGCATTTCCGGACGAAGTGCTGTTGAGCGTAGAGAAGAGGTCAAAGGCAGCGATCACGATGGTAGACGATGGCGCGATTTTGATGACGTCGCTTGAATGTAGTTGGTGGAAAAGCGTTGAGAGGCAGTCTGAGGCCGATGTCATAGTTTGCGAATCGAGCGATTCGCTAGCGAATCGCTGGATCCGAGCGTTGCGCCAGCGAATCGAACTTTGCGCCAGCGAGTCGAACGATGTACCAGCGAGTCGAACTAGGTACCAGCGACTCAATAGTGGCGGGACCCAACGTTCAAAGGAAGCCCGCAAACAGTGTCCACTGCAAACCCGCCACCTTAAACAAACACAAAC